CAGTGTGAGGGTTCCAACTCTGCCCGTTGGAGTTGGGGGAGACAACTTCTATGTCTGTCTGCTGAGATATCAACTGTCGAAGCAAGGCGAGATTCAGGTCATTGATGGGAAGCAGGATCCTACTCACGACTTGTGCAAATATGTCCAGGGACCGTGCCTCTTGAGGTTTGTCTGAGGGATAGGGGCGCCATGTCTGGTCCTTGTCCTATACGGCCCCTACACTGCTGCCTAAGCGCTTCGCCAAGTCCTGACAGCTGCTTGCCGCAAAGGTGGATTGTCGGTGCTCCAGGTTTTTACCATCGCTACAGCTATTCGTAGCGGAACTTGCCCATGTGGTTCTAGTGCTCTTGAAGCACCGGTGCAATGCACTGCCACGTACCTGACGCCAAGCTGAGCGACCGGCTGCGATTGGAATGGGAATGGAATGGTAGTAGTGGTGGTAGTAGAGGTAGTGGTAGTGGTAGAGGTAGTACCACTGCTACTGCTACTGCTATTACTATTATTAGTACTGCTAGTACTCCTCGTACTGCTCGTGCTACTAGTACTACGAGTTTACGTCGTGCTTTCACCGTTTCCCGGTTCAAAGCAGGAGTCACGTAAAATCGATTTTACTTGCCTCCCTGCTTCTAGCCCCAAAATGTTAACTTGACATCGATTTTAGTTCCCTTGACTAGGGGTTCAGGGCGGTGCAATCACTGAAAATCGAGCTTTAATTGAACTCGAGCTCTGAACCCGACAGGGGGGTATGGAATCTAGATTCAATACTCCTGTACCAAGTATATAACCTTCACATTAAAGATTGGATTTCAATTCGCCTCGACCTCTAGGCCGCCGTGACGGTATCAAATCTGGATTTTATGTGACTTAATGCTGAAGCACCACGTAAACGCATAAAACAGACTTTAATTGACCTCCAGCTTGAAATCCTGAGAGGGGTTTTTAATCTAGATTGAATTGTAAGTGCTTTCCGGTGCCCTTGACTCGTGCACCCTTCGTCTAAGTCTAGAGGAATCCGAGGGCCCCACCCTCAAACCCTAAACAGTGCCACTACGACCTCGGCTATGGTTTCAGCCGGCTGTTTCGCACAAAACCGTTTCGAATAGCAATTGCCATGCGCTGGACCTCGCTTGCATTTTGCATACCATCCGTCCGCCCCAGCCACCAACTCAACAACTCTCACTCCCTCCCTCCCCCCCNNCCTCACTCCCTCACTCCCTCACTCCCCTCACTCACTCGCTCCCTCACTCCCTCACCACTCATTCACTCACTCCCCTCACCACTCATTCACTCATTCACTCACTCGCTCATTCAGTCGCTCACTCAGTCACGCATTGACTCCCTTGCTCATTCATTCACCTTGGGGCCTCGTCCACTGAGGCTTTGGGCCCCTCTAAAGGCCTTCTTGAAGGCCTCTGGGCTTTTGACAGTCTCTGGAGCCCTGAATTAAATGGCTTTCTGGAATAAAACCTCGGCGCCGGAAAAAAAACCCATTTAAAATCGGATTGATTCATTTCAGTCCGGAAGCAGCAAAAATCATTTAGAGTCGAGTTTAAAACACTTGGTGGTGCCTGGACGCAACAGACGTGCAGCTCGTTGAGGGTATTACAGTCCGGGTATTGTTTTGTTTTAATAGGAAATTGAAATCGAAATCCAGACATATCTACCACTAGCACTGCTAGCACCACTAGTCCTACTTCCTTCCTTCCTTCCTTCCTTCCTTCCTTCCTTCCTTCTATTCGCGGCGAACGTCCAGGGGTCCGCCCAGCGTATCGGCGAGCTTAGCTCGGCTGCAGCAGCATTGTCTATGACAACCCGTGTTAAAAGCGCCGGAGTGCAGCACCGGTCAGAAGACCCAGCATGCTAAACGACCCGAGCCGAGGCTACAGCAGTCTCACTCCGACGAAACATTAAATCCTCTCATAAAGAAAATGAAAAAATGCAATGAGCAGATTCAGGCTATCGATGTTCGACCGCCCGAGTGGATGCTTGGCACTGTACACTGCTGTATACACCTTGGTAGCATCGATAAGAAACTATGCAGATTCAATTTGGAGAAGCACTGTCCATTGAGCCATCAGTCACCGACTAGCCACTGCTTCCTCGGAGAAACAGCCACATCCAGAGAGCAGGCAGCGATGCAAAGCCATTCTTCGATCAGGCCCAGGCCGACCATATAGCTGAGCACTTCGGCAACCAGTCAAAGCATCAGCATGGCCACCCGCGAAAAAGACAATGCGCTTGCCAGTGCAGGAGGTATGCCACCCGAACTCGGTCTTTGCACCGCCATCGTACAAAAGCATCGCCCAGGCACTCATGCACAGTCACTTAGAACTGTCAGTAATGCGAAATCCATGATTCGTCAAGAGCTGTACATCCAGGGGCTTAAGGTTCGCAAACTGTCCAATATGAAAAGGCAAAAGCAAAAGCCTAGTTCCCTCCCACGGCAGCGTTGCGTGCAGCTTCTTCGGCGAGAATGCCGTCGCCTCATTTGTGGAGACCAGGTGACCCACCGGACCCCTCGAGGTAAGCAACGTGCCTCCTTGAGAGTCCTCAATGAAGAGCTGCCCACCCTGAAACTCCGAACACGGAAGAGCCAAATTGACGGAGCTGGCCAGATTTCTGGAATCCCTGTGCAATGCCGCCTGTGTATTCAATGACAAAGTGCACGAAGTGAACTGGAGCTCTTCACTCCATGTCCCAAGAATGCCAGCCAAAGCCCGGGTGACCCACGGATAGGTCACCGTGTTGTTCACCACACCGGCCATGTTACCAAAGTTCCATGCCCCGACCGTGAACCGTTTGGAATCCGCTGAGGCACAGGTGTTGGCATCAGTCTGAGGTCCGGGGCCTTCCTGGGGCCATCTGACCTTTGCATCCGTAGGAAGGTAGTCAATTAGACGACGGGGCTGATTCCAGTTTGCCTGACCACTCGAGATCATGCCAAAAGCCATGGCTTCCGCTTTGCAGTGGGTGGGGACCGGAAGATCGCCAACGCGAACATTGCGCAGCAAGTAGACATGTTGCCGCGCATACTCCTAACGAAGATCAAGCTCATACGAGGTGGGGGGCTGGGCTCCAACCATAAAGACACCGCCCACCACGAGAGGCACTGAGCAGCCAAGCTCCGAGCCACTAGCTGCTGAGACACCTTGGCATACAACTTCCTCGGACTCAGAATCGCAATCGACATCATCTGCCACTGCGTAATCAGAGCAACTGCAATACCTTTCCGAGCTCGAGAGGCTGTAGCGTTGCTCGGCTCTCGGCCCATTGCGAAAAGCCGCCCATGATTACGGGCGTGGGCTGCACGGCAAGAAGGGAGGGCAGACAGCCTACTCTGACAGCTGTAGAGTGCGCTGCGGCATGAGGCAAAGGTGCTGAGGGCTTGGGGTCGCAGGGCACTCTAGGGTTACACCTCTCGACCTTTGACCTTCCAGACCTACACAGAACTCTGCAGACCTGGGGTCGCACTGACGACGAAAACGAACGAACGCCCGCGAGCTTAACGGCTGGCGTCTGGAGTGAGGTGACCCCCGCGCGTTCCGGACAAACGCCGCGATCACAGCACGCGCGCACATTGTTGAAACGCCGCGAACAGCCCTCGCGACAACCCACTACACCAACCCCCAAACCTACAACCCTGAAACCCTTCGGATTCACCGCCCTTAAGGAAACTGGCTCTGGTCGGGTGGTTGGTGTCTGCGCGCGCCGCATCATGGTGCGCACGCTTGTCTGCCTCAGGCTTAGGTTTAAAACCCAGCGCCTCCATGGCGGATTCCGCGCTCTGGGGAGCCGCTTGAGACGTCCCTCTGGCGCACGCCTCGCGTACCGCCCGGTCCGCTGCTGCGTCCGTGTAGAATTTGCCGTCTACCACGTGACCGGTGCGGACTGTAAGATCGTCCACATAGGCGATCCACTCCTTCGTGTAGCGGAGTCGCCGCCCCTTGCCGGGCGCGTACGCTCTGTCTACGACGAAGTTAAAATCGTCCGGCCCATTCACGGGCCCGAACGTCAACCCGACGGGCANNTCGTCCACATAGGCGATCCACTCCTTAGTGTACCTGAGGCGCCGTCCCCTGCCTGGGGCGTAGGCGCGGTCCACTACGAAATTGAAGTCGTCCGGCCCGTTGACGGGCCCGAACGTCAACCGGTCGGGCAACGATAGCGAGCACTTCACGCGCCCGTTTCGTATTGCGGATTTGATTGAATCCGCTCACGGCGTCGACGAACGTGTACCACACGCT